GAGTGCATATAATTTATTGTTCTTAATTATAGAAAACAAAAAAATTATAAACGTTCTCAATAATGATAAGGAAACCTTATTTTAAATATTGATGCTTTTAAAAAAATTAATGTTCTTATGAGGATCTTGAATTTTAAACACTTATAGGAGTTACCTTTGTTGGTTGGATAGTCGCCTTTTATTTTTATTTTTATTTTTTTTTTGCTACGAGTTTGCTGAAAACATAACTATAATGGAATAAAACAAGGATCGTCTGCTTAAGCAACGATTGCATAATTTTAATCACTATCAAATCACATTGAGAAAGTTTCTTGAGAACACCCTTAGTCAAAATCACTCTTAATCAAAATTTTCTTTGAACAATATGTGTTTGTTTGTTAACTCACAATGTCGACTTCAACCAACTAATCAACTTTACGACCTTACGCTACGCAAAGTTAACTTGTCATGTATAACATTGTACTCCAATCCGAGACGTAATACTAACATTGAGCAATACTAGTCAGCCCATTCTATTTCAAAATTATCGGCCAAGCATTTTTTATTACCTAATGAATGACAATGACTCCATAAATAAAATTTTAGTGACTTGAGCACAGCTGATCAGGATTTTTGGTATTTATTGTAAAGATTTTTATTAAATTTTTCATGTATAAATTTTCCTGTATTTCATTATGGAGCGGCTATTTATGGGAGATCTTGGGTTTGGAACCAGTTGTGGTTTGAAAACACGTATAATGGTTTGAGACCGTGGTGCTCATAATAACTGGTTTTACCTTATTTTGGCTACATTTACTTGATGTATCTCACGTAACGAACAAGGAAACAAACAAATAAAAAATAAATATTGAAAAAAATAAATTTTGTTAATAATATGTCACGATGAAATCATATGCACAAATATTTCGATTTTCGATGACAAATCAAAACTGCGAATTTTTTTATTAAGAATTTCATATTAGTGTTACGCTCAAGAAACGCTAAACAGGCATACATTATCTCTAACATCTAATAGCAGGTTCCAGAAAGAACAAGCTTTATATAGAATAAAATGTATAAAAATAAGTGCTCTGCCTTATCTTACGACCTCCTTTGAGAAGGTACTAATATAATCCTTATACAACTCTTATAATTCGATACCCAATATTATAAAAGATTTCTACTTTGAAATTAATAGATAAAAGTAAATTCTGGCTCAAATTAAAAAAAAGTGTGATTCGTTATACATAACTCTCCTGGTATTAATTACTAAATTATAGTTATTAAGATAAATTTTTAAATTTTAATAAAAATAGCTTTGAATATTGGTTTCAAAAATTTTATAAAATTTTTTGAATTTTATATCTTCCTATCTTTGAAATTTTTTTTATTTCAATTGCTCTGGGAATTATAAGGAGGAGCCGATATCTCTTTTTTGAGCTTTACTAATAAAAAAAAGTTAAAAAATTTTCTCAAAAATATTTATTAACTGTTACCAAACCTTGATTTTTTAAAAATAAGGGACAGTATTATACAGTATATATATTATTAATAAAATATAAATATTTTTAAAAAAATTTTAATTTTATCAAAAAAAATAGATCAGAGGCAACATTTTAGAAGTAATAATCAAAATTTTTAAGAAAAACTTCTACAACCTAAGAGACAAGTCATATCACATTTAATGTTCATCGTCAACACAACACACACAAGGAATACAAGTAATACAGGATTCATTCAATTTATTACCCCATAATGTTTTGATACCAACTATCGAAGGTTCGTTCGGTTTACTTTGAACAACATTTATGTATTCATCTCCATCTTTAATGGTATGTTCAACTAATGCTTGGCGTTTATTCGTGTCAAAATTACTCAACATTTTTCTGGTCAAGATGCAAGGGCCAATTAAAGATTCTAGTTTATTATTCTTGATGAGGGCAATGATTTCATCCAGGATAGATGAATCTTCAAGAAGTTTTTCATATACTCGTTTCACGTATGAGTCTGTCGAATATTCAAATACTAAATATTCTCCATTACTTGAAATCCAACTTGCTGGATATGAATTATTTGGGGAATCCGCTGATGTGATGAACGCAGGTTCACCTTCATAATTGCTAAACTTTTCAACCATAGCTTGTCCATCTTCCAAAGGTATATTATGGCTATGAAGTAATCGAAGTCCTAATTCAATATTATTTTTTTCGGTTAATAAATTAACCTTGGCTAATAGTTCATTAAATTCATATTGGTTAAGCTCTAGTTTATTATTTGCATTTTTTGGAGACGGTAAACTAATATATGTTTTTAAGTCAAATTTACTCAAGATTGACATTTTTGAGACAATTAATAGTTTTCTTCTTTTTTAGTAGAAAAGAAAAGGACGAGACTTAATAGAAATATACAGTATAAATTCTATATGAGTACCGGTAAGGAAAAACTTCGAACCGGCAATTATAGTTTATTATTGCCGGTTCGAAGTTTTCCTTTGTTGACACTCATAACTCATAGAATTTAAGTATATAATAACGATAATAATTCAACAGTGAACAGTAATCTATCTTTTACCAAAAATGTATTAATTAAACTTTGTAATATTTTGAACTATAAATATTAACATACCACAAACTTATTATTCAATTTTCCACATATGTTCTTTCATTGAAGTATGAAGCACTTTAGATGAGATTGTAGACTTTTTCTTTTATTTTTCTACGGAAAAATCGTAGTCAGTAGCTCACTATTTGATTCTAAATATTCCAATCCTGGGCAAATACCAGTTGCTGTATTAGAAAATTATAAATACTATGAATTTACGTAAGCAATTTTATTCACTAGTGTTACTATTGTAGGGAGAGCAATTGATATGAAAGAGGTGATTTAGCTCCAATAGTAACTTAGAGAACTTACAAGTATCTTTCCATTTCAATATAAACACGTGAGGTGAGGTCACGGAATGGATCGGGTAATTTATCTATCTCCGAATCGGGGCTTATATGATCGGATTTGTAATAGTCAATTTTTAAGGGATGCGGGTAGGCGGCAGCAAAATAATAGGATCGTTTATGGATTATAATGGTAGGAGGTTTTAGATAACAGGCTAGAATTTCGATAACACTTAGTAATAACTCTGAGGTGACAATAATAAGAAAAATAAAATAAAAATAATAAAAAAAAAGCTTAACAATTGCATTCAATAAACGGTATTTAATCAAGTGAGAATTCGAATCTTATTTTTCAACTCATTAAAGAAATCGAAGTCTGGGAAAACTTTATTAATGCAAAAACTCAGGCTCTAAATACATTTTACGTTCTTATTAATTACTGCGCTAACTTTCCCTCCCTCAATACTTCCCAACACTTCCACGCAGATTGCTTGCAATCTATAAATCCTTCAATTATTTCTTTTACCTTTGCGCGCATTTTGCTTGCAATCTAAAAAGCCTCCTGTCATTGACTTTACATTTGCGCGCATTTTGCTCGCAATCTATCAGCCCCTTATCTTTATCGTACGATTTTTTCTCATAAATAAACAAACAAATAAAAAAGAAAAATAATAATAATAATAAAACTTTATCCAAGCCCCGATCTTAAGTCACGGAAACCCGTGACACTAGTTTTTATTTATGTGTAAACTGTACCTGTGATTTGTATCCGGGAGCATTTGAGAATTAAAATTTCTCTTATATATGGCCATTCCTTCATTATACATCTGAGTTAGATTTTAGTGATGCTCACTTTGCGGATATTTATTCACAGGTTTCTATAATACTTCTGTACTTTTTGTTAAATTAAAGTTACATATTTTATAAATTTAACTTTGTTACTGCCGCAAGTATTCTTTTACTTTCTTCTTTCACCTTTTTTCTTAGTTAGAAACTTTTATTCTTGTTAGTAACTCCAATAGCTTAAATAATTTGGTATATTATTAAAAAGGAAAGAAAAATAAAAAAAAATATCAAGATTTCGGATCAGCCCGAACCTGAAACCTGGGCAATGATTTAATATATGCGTACTACGTTCGTTAGACCGGTGTTATCACTTGGTAACCTGACCGAAAATTATTTAGTTGAAATAGTCAAATATTTGTATAGCAAGCTAGTAATATGATTGGTTAATATTATATAAGCTAGAGTCTTTGACCAATTTTTGGCTATTGGCTAATTGCCTGCTGGCCAATTGGCAGATTAACGGTCAGACGATTGTTTGGCTCAAAAAATTGCCAACGCTACGTTATGCATAAGATATCAAATATATAATAGCAAATCCAGCTGTGAAAACTATTTGAAAAATTATTTTTATTCTTTGAGAACATAAATTAATAATTTTATGTTTTCAAAAAATTTTTATTTATTAACGATTAAAAATATTTTTTTTAAATTTAATATTTCATAATATATTTATATATATCTTATGTAGGGATGTTAAGTAGTTAGAATAATTTATGATTGTTATGGTGATTGTTATTCAAATAAAGTCACCTCTCTCTAATCCGAACCATAATAAATTCTTTGAGAACCGAACGTAAAACTTTAGAACATTTGATTAGTAATATAATACCTCTTTGAGAACTGAATTTTTGATTAATTTTACATATAAGAACGACCGTTCGGAATAGAGGGTTGATTGTATCACGATGAATTAAATAAATTAAAATTTGATTACAATTGGTACTTGAGCAAACACCTTTATAATTATTATATTTAATGTTTATACAAGATTGAAATAAAACAATGAGTTGACAAATAAGTAAAATACTATCTTCATAATACCAAGTTCTGTTCTTTTAAGAAAAACAAATCAACTCTAGCAATATCGATTTTTCCTATTTTATTTTATTTTATTTTTGCTTTCATTTTTATTTTTTAACTTAATTTAATTTGGTTTATCTTGCAAAAAGATTTTTAGCACAAGCAATAAGTAAAGATCCATAATGATTATGCAAAAGAGCGAGGTACTTAAACAATTATTTTTCTGCTAATAAGTGCAGTCTAAAAAAAAAACTGATTCATTTCTTTGTTAACTGAAATGATAATTATTTCCTTAGAATATAAATGTGTGGATGTGCTGAAGTTTGAACTTTTTCTTTAATATGAAATTTAAATTTTTGGGTGCTTTTTTAGCTTTTTTTTTTATGGTTGGATTAGGATTTATGGTTAAGATTTATAATAAAGGAGCATAATTGGGTTTAGTAAGAATTATATTTTTAAATAAAATTTCCATATTTCAGCATCATCCCATAATAAATATATTTGATTCTTTTTACTACCGGTAATTAAAATTACTTCCTGACCCATTTTCGATCAGTGTTATTAAAACAGAAAGAGAATTTTTTAACCTCCCGCATATTTCGAAATAAATTAATTCTGAATTACTTCTGTACTTTATTTCTGGAATTCTAATACTTAAATAAATCAAAAAATTATCGAATAGATCGAATATTAATCGAATAATTCCAATGATCAGTCAACTACAGTAAAATTATATTTGATTTATTAGTCTCGCTCTGATTTTATATTAAACGCTTTCTTTATTACAGTCAGACCTCCATAAGTGCATTTCCATAAATGCACACCCTCTATAAATGGGTTTGGGTCAAAATCCCGACAAACAAAATCCCGACAGGTCATAATCCCCACGAACCTAGCATGACCACCAAAATCAGTTACGTAATCGCTGTTTAAAATCATCGAAAATTAATGCAATATTATATTAGTCATTTATTACGATATTTGTTTATAATATAGTATCGTTACAATGATTGTTTAAAAATTTCTTTTTTTACCATATTTCGTAAAAATT